AACGCCTAAGCCACGGACGCCACTACATCAACACATAAAGGTAATATAATGGCGTTGCCTAGAACAAAAATGACAATGGTGACAACGATTGTCATCGTTTACAAAGACGAAGGCGAAGATAACAACGATGGCGTCGATGACCGTGATACTGGTGATTATGATGAGGATGTTGGTGATGATGACGATGATAATGAGGATAAAGGGGGTGATGACTACAGATGTGATAAGGTGGCTCGGTGGCAAGGTGAGTAAGTAGTTGGCCTCGAGAAACTCTTACCTGGCTTAATGTCCGACACGCTAGAAGATGACACTGTGGGACTTGAGATATTTACCACCATGTCTATTAGTGAGGTAAAGTTGAAGATCCCTGTAACTGTGGGTGTAGGGACGGTTGCCGCCCATGCTGTCAAGAGAGAGAGATGCATGTTTTTATTAAATGTTAGGTATATTCCGCACTGGGAGTCACCGTGGTCGAGCGGCTAGACGCTCGTCGCGGATCGGACGGTCGTGGGTTCGCTCCCTGGCGGAGCCGGACTTTTTTCAAAAATGACTTTGGCTCCCAGGTCGACCCAGCCTTGAGTGGGTACCGGGTGCAGTCCCGGGAAAGTAAAGGCGGCCGGCGTGATGCTGACCACATCACCCATCTTGTGCCGATTGGTCTATGAAAATATAGGTCTAGCCCTATATGCCCTATACGCCTGATGCCGTGCAAAAGGGTCCTTTACTTTACTTTACTTTATAATCCGTACTGTCTTTGAAGAAGAAAATCAGAGCTTTTGAATTGAACTGCTGCATAAAAATTCTTAGAATACCGTGGGCTAAGAAGAAGAAGAAGTTCGACATTATGAATGACCTAGACATCAAAGAGAACTGGCTCGTAAACAGCAGTCTGTCGCAAAAAGCTGGGGTATTTTGGACATGGCAAGTGCCATGGTGGTCCGGAGAGAAGGGCGATGAAGGATGTCGTTTTTGTGTTTTGAAAACAAGGCTGAAGGTGGATACAGAACATTGAGAATATATTGGCTATGAAAGCTCACAGGGCTGGGGTATTGGCGAGAGAAAGAGAGACTTTGAGGCGTGCTGTGGAGAAAGCGACGTCCTGTAAATGACACGCTAATTCATTGAGTGAGTGAGTGAGTGAGTGAGTGAGTGTTTGATTTATTGATTAATTGATTTCTTCTTCGTCTTCATCGATTTTTCTGTAAGAAAACTTTTACCACCTTCAGACTCCCACCCCAACACAAAGAAACAAATTAAGGCTGTCTTTTTCAACTTCTCTCTCTCTCTCTCTCTCTCTCTCTCTCTCTCTCTCTCTCTCTCTCTCTCTCTCTCTCTCTCTCTCTTTCTCTCTCTCTCTCGGTGTTTAGGGGAGATAAGCTGCCCTCCATCCCCCACGTATTGCAGTTTTTTTTTCAAGTTTTTTCCCTCTATTTCAAGTTCACTGGCTGTAAGCTCCGAAAAAAAGTTCTGGTTGTTCGTCCATTCCTAGACTTTTTCGTGTTTCAAAACTTGAATTCTGTGTGCATATCCGTGCTACAGCCCTGGCTTACTTGAAGGCAGACTGTTATTTCCACGCTTCTCAGACAGACGTGCTCAGACTTCAGAGGAAAAATTAATAAGTTGCTTTTCACGACATGCTTTTTAGGAAGGCAGTGGGTCTATTTTCCTCCCCCGAAAATGGGGCTCCGGAACCCCACACGTGACCCTATAAGTCATTAACCACAGGCTATGGTAGTCTAACAAATACTTCTTTACGTTGCGTTTGGTTCACAGCCAGGCTGCGATATTTGCGCCTTTGGGCCCCAACATATTCGATATCAACACATCCTTACTTAGCCATTTTTACTACCAACTAGCCGAGAGCAGTTAGTCTATTCATTGTTATCAGCAAAACGGGGCCCTGTAACCCCAGACGTTTAGTGTTATAATAAAATAACACTTACCTTCTAGTAATAACTGTGCCGAGATATGCGTGTCTCTCATACTCCCCCCTTCCCCCCCCCCCCCACTTTAGCTGAACAAAAATAAAGCTCTCATTTTTCTTCTTTTCTCTTCGTACTCATCGGCTGTAAACTCAGGTGGAAGGTTCTGGTTGTTTGTCCAGTTCTGAACTTTGGTCTTATTCCAAAACTTGAGTCTTGCATGCACAACCGTTTTTATATGTCTGGCTAACATGTATTAAATTGTTATTCCTCACCTTTGAGGCAGATGCACTCCGACTTCGAAAAAAAAAAATTCTTTATTCGACCTTTACAACATGCTTGTTGGGGGGGGGGGGGGGGAATCTCCTTCCCTTAACCCCTATAATGAGGGCACGGAACCAGTCCTGTGCGATAGATTTTCTCAGTATGATGCAAGTCTGCGAAATTTCGCCTCTAATAGCTTCGCGCTGTCAGATCAAAAGTTCAGATTGTCTTCTCCTTTCCCTGCATATGCCGCCCCCTTACAGTGCCGCTTGATGCCGCCGGATTTCTCTGCCTAGCACGGACGACCCTACCCGGAACCCACACGGAGAGGAACCCACACGGAGAGGAACCCACACGGAGAGGAACCCACACGGAGAGGAACCCACACGGAGAGGAACCCACACGGAGAGGTTCTGATTCAGCTGACCTGTATTTAGTTGATACTAACAACTCATTTGCTTGATACAACTTTATCAATAGATCAACTTTATTTCGTTGATGCTAACAACTCATTTACTTTATACAACTTTGTCAATAGATCAACTTGATTTAATTTATACTAACAACTTATTTACTTTATATAACTATCAATAGATCAACTTTATTTAGTTGATGCTAACAATTAATTTACTTGATATAACTTCATCAATAGATCAGCTTTATTTAGTTGATGCTAACAATTCATTTACTTGATATAACTTTATCAATAGATCAACTTTATTTAGTTAATGCTAACAATTTATATGATATGTTGACAGAAGGTAATACAACCAAGAACACTTACCTGCTAGAAATAATTGTGCAGAAATATATGTTTTTAAAAGCATCCCTAATTTTGCTGTGTGACGATACGTTGTTGATTCGACTGGTCTGGATTTAATAGGTCCTTGTTGTATATATTTACAAGCTGTGGATTTCTGTGATGAGTTGTAAAACCGACAATTTGAAAAATCACATCAGTGTGGATATTAAAGGTCTGGTGTGCCACTTTGGATGATAAAACAGTCACTTTAGATATGAATGAATATGTTAACGCAGATTGTATTTCTTTTACTTTAAATTCGTGTGTGTTTTTAGATAAAGACACACATAATACTTCATATTTTATGTTTTTGTCACGTCATATTTTTTAAATCTTTTTTTTTTTATATGTGTTTCTACCACTGTGTATTATTTCTTTCACTTTGAATCTTTCACTGTATGTTATGTTTAGTTCACTTTATATTTTTTCATATGACTTTATATGTCTCTATGTCTTTGTATTATATATTTCTATTACTGTGAATTATGTTTCTATAAGCGTGTGTTATATGTTTCTGTTGCTTCATACATGTAATTACCTATTTTCTATTCACCCTTATATTTATTGGTAGCTTTTAGCGGGCAATCAGAAGTCCATCAACTGTAACATGAATTGCGTGTTTCAAAGTTCAATGAAACTGAAATGGTTCCCTGATTCTTGCTGTGACCCAAAGAAGACAGCTCCCTGACTTAAATAGTCTCTGTTCTACCTGTTGTTGACAGGCCAGGGCCGTGTCGGCGAGCATGTCGTCTGCGAGCTAAGTCCGGAAACAAATGGAGGGCACCACTGAGGTCAAAAACACTCGAAAAGACAATATAATTTCTAAAATCCTGGACGTCACTTCTGCTTAGGTGAAAATGTCGGGTGCGGCGGGGTTCTTTTTGTGTGGGTGTATTTGTGATTGTTAACGACATTTTCAAAGATAGTTCTGACGTATATTTGTGAACTTGACAATCTCACGCGCACGCTTTGATTGGCTAGCACGAATATAATCACATTTAACCTTGGACTGGTGCATAGGCTTATTCTATATGAATTAGGGAGACTGCATGTTCTGAAACTATTTCTGTACACTCCAGTCACGTTGTGTCTGTTGATTCCCACCCCTTCCCCATTCCTTTCTGTGACCTGTGCTGTTATTGTGTTTTAATGTCGCTATTTTGATCAATTCCTGCGTAGTTTGTTTTCATAAAGTAACAATTAATCATTTATTAGCCTCCAGCATTTTGTAATATTTGTTTGCATAGCTACAGCTAGATGCTTTAAGTAAACATTTTTTATATTGCTCTGTAAGGTATTTAAGATGCTTTTCAAATTGAAAAAACGCTTTTTAAGAGAGAGAGAGAAAGAGTGAAAAACAGAAAGAAAGAAAGAAAGAAAGAAAGAAAGAAAGAAAGAAAGAAAGAAAGAAAGAAAGAAAGAAAGAAAGAAAGAAAGAAAGAAAGAAAGAAAGAAACAAACAAACAAAACAAACAAACAAACAACAAACAAACAAACAAACAAACAAACAAACAAACAAACAAACAAAGAGAGAGAGAAAGAAATGGAGGAACAAAAAGAGAGAGTACAGTATTTCATCATCTGTATGTTATGTTGCTATTTTCGTTAGATTAGAGGCACAAATAGATCATTACGGTCTGAGGAGAATAGCGCTGTTGGGAGTTACCAGGGAATCTGGCCGACGCTCAACACTCAAGGGAGAGGCGAGACGAATGTACAGTCACACAGTTACTGGTACTATTGAAGTTGGAACTCTTCGCTTGCTGCTGACGATAGGGGCGGAGCGCTCATAGTAGTGTCTAGAGTGCTGTGATGTCGATTCTTTATTCAACATTAAACATTCTAACCTATTTTTGTAGGCAAAAAATGTCAGCTATGGTTCTATTATTTCATTTATTATTCGTGTTTCTATTTCCCAGTATTTTTATTATGTGACATGAGATGCCGGAGAAAAGCCGCCAAACTAAACCATCTGAGACGAAGTTAGACATGATATTATCAAACCGACTGTAGGAACAACGCCATGTAACAAATGCATCAAGAAACAGAGGACCAAATGAATTGGTCATTCAGTAAGATCACAGCCAGAACAATTATCAACGCAGGCGCTACACATGGAAATATTTGAAGTGAAAGCAAGAGGCCGCTCTAGAAAAATTGGACTGATAACTAGGGTTGTACCGAATATTCGTTTCGTATTCGCTTCGGAGCTGAATAGTGGACCTTATGACTATTCGGTATTCTGCCGAATAGTTGAGGTCGGGCCGAATACGAATAGTAGTTACCTAAAACCCGCGTCTGCATACACGGCCTTAATACTGACAACATGGAACGATTGGTTTTTTTGAAAGCTAATGCAGCTTTCATGCATTAACTAAGCTGTCAGTGACAATTTCCAAGTTTAGTTACTTGTTATAATACTTAGGATTCTTTCATTCCTAGTTATTAGTAACCATAGACTGACTGAAGGATACAAAACATAACATGTTTTTAATGTTTACTATTCTGTACGAATACGAACTAGACATGGAAAGAATATAAACTCCGGCCACATCCAAGTCGATAATATGAAAATCAAGCGAACGGAAACATAAATATTTTGGTGCAAACTTCAATTTCTCCAACATGCTGAGAGAAGAAATGCAATCTAGAATACAGTCTAGAGATAAAGTATACTATGCCCTTCAACATCTGCTAAAGTCAAAGTGTCTGTCTCGCAACACCAAGATCAAAATATATAAAATGTTGATAAGACCAGTCGTTTTATATGGCTCTGAAAGACGAGGCCTTATTACAGGTTTTTGAAAACAGTCTTACGACAAATCTTTGGACCTATTAGAGATGCTAACAGCGGGGAATGGAGAGTCAGAAGCAACAATTTAACACATAATTTGTTTAAATCACCATTGATCACTGGCATCATGAGAGCTAACAGACTAAAATTGTTGGGGCATGTTGAAAGAATGTCAGATGATAGAGAAGTAAAAACTGTATACACCTTAGAGAGGAATGGGCGTAGACCACGAGGCAGACAAACAAAGAAAGAAAACAAAAGAAGTTTGAGAGATAATGTCCAGCCAGATCTGCAAACAATGGTATCACAAATTGTGAAGATTATGCCAGCCAGAGAGATGAATGGAGACGAGTGATATCTGCAACAGTAAACCTCAAGGGCTCAGAATGCTAAAGAAGAAGATGACTATTCTGTGCTACTTTATATGAAGTAAAAGTTCAGCGTACATTTGACATTATTAAGAATGTGTGTTTTTTTTTTTTTTTTTTTTTTTTTTAAAGATATATTTTATACACTATACACTATTCGTATTCGTGTTCGTATTCGGTAGAATAGTTGGTCCCGTTATTCGTATTCGGCCGAATAGAAAAAATCATTATTCGGTACAGCCCAACTGATGACATTAAAGAGCTTCTACATCGACATGGAATGACAACTGCCATTGCTGCCCATCAAGCAGTGGATTGCAAACTGTTCCGCCACACAACGCTTAACGGCAGAAGTGAAAATTGATGATGATAAGGACGAATATTTTTATTTTCTTATATATTTGTTACTATCGATTTTATGCTTTTTTTTTAAAATCTTTTCTTTTTGTGGTTATTTATTCGTGGATGACTTTCTTGCTTTTCATTCGCATTCCATATTTTATTTATGGACACATCTGGCATGAGGATACTCCGGGTATGCTTAAAGGTGCTCGGTAACCAATAACAGATACATACAAGTCGGGTAACGTTTCCCGTTGCAAGTACGTGCTTTGTAAACTTACTCCATCACTTGGGCGATACTTTCCTTCAAGATCATGGCTCATGTCAGACTTGTAGATGAAGACTGATGGCTTCACCAACATATCGCTGTCTCTATAAAGTGGGTTCGGTGGTTCGGTTCACTGGGGCCGAATTTAGGATCTTTTTTAAAGGTTTTTTTTTCCATTTTTACGATCCACTTTTGTATTTTTTCTTCATCATCAGTATCATCATCTACTTCTTCTTCTTCTTCTTCTTCTTCTTCTTCTTCTTCTTCTTCTTCTTCTTCTTCTTCTTCTTCTTCTTCTTCTTCTTCTTCTTCTTCTTCTTCTTCTTCTTCTACTACTTCTTCTTCTTCTTCTTCTTCTTCTTCTTCTTCTTCCTCTTCCTCTTCGCCTTGTTCTTCATCGATGGAGCTACAGAGTGCGTACTTTGCTCGACACCCTAGGCAGGCTGCAGGACGTTATGTGATCACATATCGTTTATGCATTTATATCAGTGACGCCCTAAAAAATGTATAATATCTCTCTCCTTTATGGTTTCGGTATATTATTTACGCTATGGGACAGGTTCTAGGTTAAAGGTGAATGGCTGGAGGGGGTAGAAAACCAGGGCGCCCCTTGAAAAGATCGAAAGAAAGCAAATGACAGAGTGAACAAACAGAGAACAGACACTTGAAACAAGAAATCAAAAGCCTTTTGTACATCCCCTTTTTTAGCAGCGGATTTCACAATCCTCTCCCCCTTTCCGGCAAACCAATTTAAATTGCCTCAGTTTATTCAGAAAATAGTTTGGCTATCATTGTTTAAGTTTATTTTGAACAAATTTGGCTTAAAATCAGAAAGTAAGCCGATCTTTTCATTACTATGTTTTATTTTCGTTTGTTTGGCTACGTGTTATCTGTCCTTCGTAAGCTATAAACTCAACAATTTGTTTTTCCCCCCTAAACTGGAGTTTTATTTTCTTTTATTAAACAGCTTTGACATAGGATTGTTCGGGTTTATTTTGGATGTATGCACAAATGCATGCCATAGTCGGGTTTTCCTCAACGACAGCGAGGCACAAACAACTATCTCTATACCTAAAGAAATGACCCCTACTTGCATCGCAAACAGACTGGCAAAGTTTCAAATCAATTAACAATCTTCAGAGCGAAAGACAAACTGCTTAATCCAGTGTTTCCCAAACCTTTCTTTGTCGTGGCGCTTTTTTAAAATTAAAACTGTTCCACGGCGCCCTAACCTAAGTCAAAGTTTGACTATT